CTGTCTTACCCGACTGCAGACACACAGGGCGAGCCGAATTTTCGATTGCTGGTGCAATCGAATCTTTCATTATCCGTCGAGAGTTTTCTACAGCAAGAGATCGCCTGTGAGATTCTCCTAGGGAATTTTTACTTTCAGTCAATCGACAAGTCAATTATCTCAACTGAGTTTTAATACGGCTGAATGTTCAGATCTTTTTAGTCACGGTAACAGAGATCCTTCCCCGTCGCCGAATTTCCGTCTGCTTCTTATTCCGTTATGCGAACTGGGATCCTCCTCCGCGCAGAATACGATGAGCAAATATCGAATAATGAGCGTGAATTAAATAAATAATGGATTTCACGGAGAAATAAAGGTACAATCTTCTTTCTTTCATCATCTGCTTTCATTCATCGACTTTTTGCATTAAATTGTTAGAAATTTTCGTAGCATTTGCAGATTTTAATGGCGTGAGAGGAGAGAGAGAGAGAACGAAGTATGATGAAAGTATGATAACAAGTGTCTCGATAGTGATAGCTTGAGTTCTTTGTTTCATCGTGTCTGAATCGATTTGCAACCAAATGCACGTTATTGTTCTGGCAGACGACAGTTGGCGATAGGCGATAGGCGGAAGATGACCTGGCTCTTTTTGTTGATTTCGTGGCGTCGCGCGTCATTATTACAATTACCATTTAACAATATATTCTTGAGACCAAATAGAGTAAAAAAAGTCTAATACTATTTTTCCTTCCGGCAAATAGTTAGCTAGATATCGTAAGTTAAATGTTGTAAAAGTTAGCAAGTTTTCTTTGAATATCTTAAAAAATATTAGGTAAATAAAAAATGTTTCAGAATTGTTCAATTGTTTCAAAATTGTTCAAATTAATTGGTAAAAAGAGATGATATAATAAAAAATTGGAGTTCCTATTTAAGAAAAGTAATGATCAGTGAATATTTAAAAAAAATAGTGTCCATCTGTAAATAAAATGATACAGTTGTTTTATGTCTCCCTTGAAACCATACAACTTTTGTCCGAAACGCTTAGTTTCTTTTCTAAAAACGCTTTTTTCCTAAAATGCTTAGTTCTCGAGATATTTCGCCGTTCCGGCGAACTTTTTGTACACCCTGTATATTGATAAATAATTAAAAATTGCTGTTGGCAAAACATGAAGAAAGGTTAAATGTCGAAACAACGAAAGCGAAGTACCTACAGGCCACTTGAATAACTTTGAAAATATGCAAGGTAGAAAAAAATACCAAATAAAGAAGTTGCAGGGTTCTAAATGACGCATCACATAGCAATACTAGTGTGACCTTGAACAGCGTCATCAAGGTTACGGAAAGGTTACCTTTAATTTTTTAAATGGAAATCCCCATTTTTTTATTATGTCATCTTTTTCTATCAATTAATTTGAACAGCTTTTGTCTGAAACATTTTTTTATTTACCTAATATTTTTTAAGATATTTGAGGAAAACTTGGTAACTTTTTCCATATTCTCACGATATCTCGGTAACTATTTGTCGGAAGAAAAAATACTATATTAGACTTTTTTACTATTCGGTCTTAAGAATATGCTGTTATAATAGTGTCATAGCTTTTGTCAACTTGATGATTTTGAAATATCTAACAGTTAAGTTAATAAAAATTGTGGCCTGTTTTAGGCCTCACCCTGTATATCATAGACTGTTTACACTTTAATCCGGCTTAGCCGTGGTTAGTGACTTCTTGCATCCGACTGGTATATTCTTTTATATCCAAAAATATAGTTAAGTGCAAGAGCTCACTAACTAAGGTTGTTATAAGACCGGATTAACGTTACCGTGTAAACGCAGCCATGTATAGGCGTGTCCAATAATTTAGTATATAGGATGTTTCTCATTTTCCCGGCCATTTAACGTATTTCCCGGGAGTGGAGAGATAACTCAGGTAGAGCCAAAATTTCAACTCGAGTGTGAGCTGCGAATGACGGTGCGAATAATATCGTGTTTCAGGATTTCGGTTGTCATCGCGAAGCGAGAGATGGCAGATTCGCAGGTAAATCTTACTCGTCGTGGTGTACAAACCGTATTATTATCAAAATATATGTTTGAATCAATGAATAATAAAGGCCAAGTCCCGATTTAACGCCGTAGATTTGATATCTGCGCACATCGTACTATAAATATATGCTCACTTTAAATCGGCATTTGGTTTATATATATATCTGTTTTTCTTTTTTTTTTTTAATCAAAGAGTCTCGCAATCATTGAATCGCGACCGTATTATTTATTTTCATATTTATTTTCATCAATTATAAACTGGACGATTGTTAATTTGACAACAACGGAATGCGACGCGCAAATCATGTTTCATTATTTGATTTTCGAAATGACGTAACGATTAATGGGGAGGATTAATTAATACAGACGCGCGAAAACATTCCACAAAAATGTCGTCGCGTCGCTTTTCCGGAGTATTGCGCTCATATATTTGCATATCCAATATTTATGCGAATACATCCCTTTCTCTTTAATGAATAAAACATCCCGTAAGAGGTGAGCCGGCTGCACGAAGGAGCGAGCGTAAACCTATGTTATTAATTAAAGATTAGTCGAAAGAGAACTCGTTTCGAGGGACCGGTGCCCCGTTCAGCCCTCCTCGCCCCCCCCCCCAACCCACCCATTCGCCCATGAAACGCGCATGTGACTCGGTTGGGCGGTTGCGGATTCATAAATTTTCAACGGTACAGCTCACACGCTCGCACGGAAGTCGTCCCACGAGTTCGTTTTGCTTTCCAATCCGTTACAAAGCGTCTGCGCGATGTTGTTTATTTTATGAACTCCGACGTGTCTCTCCCTTTCGTGCCGCGAGAGTTTGCATGAAGAAGAACCGCTCGCGCTCGTCCCTTAGTTACGTATTTCTCGCTTAGCGGCGTCTCGCAGCGTCTCCGAAATCTTCGCGCGCACTTTTATCTGCGTGCGAGTCACACATTACTCGTCCATTGCCGATCGCAATTACGCGTCGCGAATGCTGCGATATTTCCACCTAAGGTAGTTGCTCCGTGCGAGACAACACCGATGAAAAGTTAAGACGATTAATACAGCGCGAAGAAGCTCGACAGGTCTACGTTAAATGTTTGTAAACATGATTTATGATAGGCGACTTTGAGACCGTCGCAAGGGAATATCGAGCGAACTTACGTAATACTCAAGAATTATTACCGAGTAGATTTTCTACTCGGTAAAAATATTAGAAGTGTGATTTAGTCCTGAGGGCTTTGCAAGAGATGGCACTAATGTCAGTCTTGTTGGAGACATTCCCATAACAGCTGTTGTCCCTTAATGTTTTAATATTAATCCATGATATTTAGTCCGTGATATTTGATCTATGATACTTATTTTAATCATTTACTAACAATAGACACGGTAAAAATCATGTTAATACCATCTTAAAAATGGAGCTTCCTAAAAAACATTTCCGACATGCGTTGCTTTTGTTTTTTAATCAGAAAAAACGGCAGCTGAAGGTCGTAGAATTTTGATAGAAACTTGTGGCGATGTTGCTCCGTCAATTAAGACATGTGAATATTGGTTTAGACGATTCAAAAGTGGTGGTTTCAATGTTAACGATAAAGATCGCTCGAGACAAGTAACTTGAAAATACAGAAAATACAGAAATACAGGCATTATTGGACGAAAATCCAGCACGATCCACTTCAGAACTTGCCAGAGTATAAATGTTGGTCATACAACAGTTACTAAATAATTGCTAAACGTTCACATGGTATGGGAAAGATTGACAAAGGAGGAAAATAAGTTTCGCATCAATTATCAGAAAATACCATTGCGAACCGGTTGAACATTTGCATTTCATTGATCGTCAGACAAAGAACGAAGAATTCTTTGTATCGAATTGTTACTGGGAATGGAAAGTGGATCTATTTCGATAATCCCAAACGAAAAAAATCATGGGTTGATTTAGGCCAACCAGCAACATCCACTTCGAGGCGCAATTAGAGATATGCGAGTCAAGAATTTTTATGTCGAATTGAATCGAATCGAGTCTCATTTTTTTAATTCGAATTCGAATCGATTCGAATGAAATCGAATCAAGTCATTAAAAAATTTAACATGACTATTAAACATGCAAATAATAACGGAAGATTTTAATATGAAAGGGAATATTGAATATCGGAAGATTGTAATATCGTCTTAAAGTAAAATATATATTTAAATATTTAAAGTAATTTATAATTGAGTTATTAATTATAAGTTAAGTTAATTACAAGTTAAGAGTTCAAACAAATACAGACGGACCCAGATGGTCCGTTTTGTAGCTGATGCACGCAAACGATAATGTAGTTGATTCCTATTCGAATTATTCGGATTCGAATCACAAGGATTCGGATTCGAATCGAATCGAATTACATTAGATTCGATTCCATTCGATTCGAATTCGAATAGTTCGCACATCTCTAGGCGCAATTTCACGGTTCAAAGGTATCGCTGTGTATTTGCGAGTAGATGTTGTGTACTATGAAGTGTTAAATCCGAATGAAACTGTCACCGCCGATCGTTCTCGACAACAATTATACAAATTGAAGCGAGCATCGGACCAAAGACGATCACCAATTGCAAGTAAACGACGCAGAGTGATCCTTCTTCACGACAATGCTCGATCTCATGTTGCATTATCAGTGAACCAAATCAGTGAACCACGCTATTAGAGCTGGAATGGGAAGTCTTATCGCACCCCGCGTGTTCTCCAGACATTGCTCCATCCGATTATCATTTGTTCCGATCCGATGCTTTAGAGAATACACACATTTTCATAATTTGAAACAAGTGCAAAAATTTGTTGAAAATTGAATCGACTCTAGAGAAGAATCTCTTTATCGTCGCGAAATCCGTCTCTTGCCAGAAAGATAGGAAGAAGTTGTAGAAAACGAGGGAGTAGAAAAAGAGGGAAAATATTTCGATTAAGGTATTCTTTCATTGTCGTGTTAAATCAATTTTTGAGAAAAAAAATTAAATCTCCTCCTCACACTCCTAATAAGATACCGACGCAAATAAGGTAACATTATCGATCGTGCGCGATATCGGGAAAAGAATGTCTTTTGTGACGTGCGTGGAATCGGAGCGGCGCGAGGATGGTTGATGTACTCACAGTGCACGTGCAGCATCATTCGTTTGCTGACTGTCGGAGGCACTCCGTTACTGGCGATGCACAGGTAGGCGCCCATCTCGCCCCTCGTTACTTTCGACAAAGTCAGCGTTTCGCCCTCTGCGGTGGATACTGCAATATGCAAGCGCGAGGAACGGTCTCAGAAGTTAGCTCGTTACACGTAATCAAAGCGTACAGCATTAATACCCGATCGGCTTAATTCGGAGCGCCGTTGAACGTTCGCGGGGGGAAATTCACGTTATTGCGTTTAGTTTATTTCTCCCCCTCCACCCTTCACCCGCGCCGTTTCATTTATCACGAGTGCGATGCGTTTCGCGTTTCAATTTGAGGGCGACTCTGGCCACGACGACGGCGTCGGAGTTGATCTCGGAGATGCGTCCCGACAAAAAATAATTTTACACTATTATACAGGGTGTCCCATTTTAATCCGGCCGGCTGAATAAAATTCGAGGATGATATTTTCTAGAAAAAAAATGTCAGACAAATGTTGCTCAGTTCTAAGGGGGACATTCGATGCCATCAACAATTTTGACCTCGGGTGAAGGGTTCAAGGTCATTCAAGGTCAACTTTTTTTTTCTTAAATGGGAACCCCTATTTTTCACATCGGCAATTGATTCTACGTAAAAAAAATGAAACTTTTGTCTTTCCAAAAGTCAGTAAAATAACAAAAGTCAGGGCGCTATTGTAACAATATATTCTTAAGACTAAATAAAGTAAGAAAGTCTAGTACCACTTTTTCTCCCGACAAATAGTTAGCGAGATATCGTAAGTTAAATATTGATAAAGTTACCAAGTTTTCCTCAAATATCTCGAAAAATATTAGACAAATAAAAAAATGTTTCAGACAAAAATTGTTCAAATTAATTGGTAGAAAAGAAACAGTGTAACAAAAAATAAGAGTTCCCATTTAAAAAACGCAAGTTGACCTCCAAATGACCTTGAAGGTCATAGCCGAGGTCAAATTCAAGGTCACCGTCAAGTCCGTTACTCGATTTTCTACAACTTTTGTACTTAAAGTTTTTCATGAAAACTTGATCCTGCAAAGTTACCCGGGGGTTCCGGTATTTTTAAGACACCCTGTATGTCGTTTCCTGGAAAGCTGAATGTTGAATTTGATGTTTATTTGAATTCCCGAGCGGAATCCGATCGTTTCGCGAGAGAATATAACCGAGCGTCGTCAGCGGGAAATTCGCAAGACACCGATTTCGATGTTCCGGACGTGCGAGCGACGGCCACTCGGTTGAGTTGCAAGGACAAACGGGTCGAGGCTGAGCGCGGGGTAAAGCGCGGGCTACTCCCCTGACGAGATCGATTTTAATTGCGCGCCGGCAATTTCAGCGTCTTCGGTAAGAAAACAACGTCAGTGCTGTAGCGCCGCGGCCGTATCGCTCCCCGGAGACTCGAGACCGGCTCGCTCGGAAATAAAACTAGTCCTTACGTTTTGTCTTGCTACCGGAGTGGCCGGCGCGCGAAATGATTTCGGTGCCGTCTTCCCGCCTCCACATGATGTCGGGCTTGGGATAACCGCGCGCTTTGCACACCAGCTTCGCGGCCCCTCCCTCGGGAACCATCAGGTCGTTGGTGGTCTCCTCCGAGATGATGTCTGGCGGTATTACCACCTCCAAAAACGCGCTCTGCAAATGTGAGGAAGATAAATTATAACGCGCATGTATGTGTGTGTGCTTGTGCGTGTGTATATCGGGCACGATGAAAAGGGAGTCAACATTGTTGCGAGATATATAGCACGAGACCGCTCGCCCAATTACAGCGGAAAACTCCGAGTTCGAGGTCACGACATCGCAGATTCGGCTAAATTTCAAGTAACTCCCGGGAGTTACTTGGAATTTAACGTCGAGTTACAGGAGACCTCCATTATGCTCGATGCGCGATAGTCATTGGTTTCCGCTGTCTTCCCTCGAGTCGCAGACTCGGCAAGGTTCAGTCACTAAGAAATAATCTTGCTCAACGAAGGTCGCGTAAGGATTACTCGGTGGCGACTAATTTCTCGCGAAGAAAGCCTTGTATTTTTCACGACGTTACATACAAATCAGCGTCGCAGCTCAATCGGGATGTGTGAACGGAGAATTAAAAATTATATGATAGTGATACATACAGGATCGCTTTTCAACGAATATTTGCCAGAGCTATAAACTGAAAAATTTGAATAAACCACCAAAAAAAAGAGAAAGAAAGAAAACTGGAAATGTAAGGTAAAATGTTTAATAATCTTTTTTGCACTCACTGGCAATTTTCAATATTTTTGCCCTTTTCATCAAATGTCAAGATATATGGCGACAAAAATTAAACAAATATTTGCAACTAAAGATGAAGAAATAACTAAGAAATATTTAACAAGTTTCCAAATGAATACACGCAAATATGAAGGCTGGTAGACGCTTCATCCTAAAATATGTATTAAATTGTAAGAATCATGATAAATTATAATTGTAAAAATATTTTAAAAAATTGTAAAAATGTACACAAATTTTTAAGGAATGTATCGATAAGGACATATAATAATAATAATCATAATAACATATTATAACATACAATATGTTGTACAACATATAAAATATATGTTAAATAATATATGATAATAATCTGCACATTTTCAGTGCTAGTCGAACAGCTGGACGTTGCCGGTGAAATCTGGGCTATCCACTTGAAATCTCTCGACGTTTGGCGATGTACGTTATATGAAAAAATCGTCCTTCAGAATAAAATAATCGAAAAGTGTAAATTGATTGTTAATTTATGTCTGGAGGTTAATACCTGTTGATTTCATGTTAAACTTAATTTTCGTTATATTCACGAAAGAATTTAAATTATGTATTCATACACAGATATTGTAGCTGCAAAATTAAAAGTTGTTACGAAAAAAACATTTTTTTAGAATAAACTCAGAATTGAAAATTGTTAATTTATATCTCGCGGTCTCGCGTCAAACATACTTTCTTCTTATACGAAAGCAAATTGGGCTAGAGAGAGTTAAGGACTCTTTGAGGAAACGTCGATATATTATTATCCCTGCCCCTTCCGCAGGAAGTTACTCGTCAGCGACGAGTTTACTTTTATCGGCCGAGATCAATTCTCAGCGACTGAACCGATTCGAGATGACCCACCCTTGCGTCCTCACGCAAGAATCGCGCGGTGTCGAGGAAGGCTCGTTTGGCGCACCCTGACGCATAGTGCGGCCAGATGACATTCTTTGGTTCAACATTCTCTAGAGACCTGAATTTCCAATCATCGACACCAATGAATGAGGTTGATCCAGAATAAATTCCGAAGAGATCTGTCTTGCCAAAATAGAAAACAAATTTTTTTCTCGAATTACTAGCCCCAAAAAAGGAAAAAATATCGTTAAACGCGAGAAACTTGTGAAATACTCATTATTCGACACTTGTTTCTATCTAATAGCATATTCAGCGGATTGAAACTATGAAACCAATCAACAGACACCTTGAGATTTATCGATCTTGAACCAGAAACCTATTAACCCAAAAGTCATATGCCCAAAATACAAAAACATTAAATATAGACCCGTTAAACACAAAACCGAGAGATTCTTAAGCCCATCAACCTAGGAATCTATCAATCCGAGAACTTTTTAGCTCGTGGATGCATGAAGCCGTATATATTAAGAGGCCCAAATAGTCCAAGAACCCAATCTAGTCATAGCTCGAGAACCTAATAATACCCGACGTTGAATATTCAGCTATAAAACATTAAGTTCGAGCCTCGAAACTTTTAAGACAAACTCTAAACCCATGAACCCTGAACCGATAATCTTTTCAAAATTTCGACTAGACAGATCTCTTTGGAATTTATTCAGGATCAATCTCATCCATTGGTCTCAATGATCGGTTGGAAATTCAGGTCTCTAGAGAATTTTGAACCAAAAAATGTCATCTGGCCTCACTGTGCGGCGTCCCGAGCAAAAAATGGTTAGGGCTATCCTCATGAAGCATAAAGCCTCGATAAAGTTGAAAAATAGGACGCCTTAAAAAGGGATGCTTCATTATTACCACATCAGGTCCCGAGATGGATCTTTCAGGGATGCTTTAGATTTTACGAAATAAGGCTTTAATAGGAAAAGCTGAGAAGGGCCTTAGAAAGATCTTTCAAGGATGCTTCAGATATACAAAATCGAGTTTTGTTATAGAAAATTATTAACATTTGAATCGTGTAATAAAATGATCATAGTTTAGTATTGTTTTAGTAGGTACGCTCTATCTGGTTCTTTTAAAGATTTTTTAATTATACCGCAATTAAAAGTAAGTTTTATTAGTTTTATTAGTTGCCATATTCATTAGTCTCTTCCAAGGATTTTTCTAGTATTGTCTTCATTTTGACATGCAGCAAAATTTAATAAAAATAGTAACAGAATTTTTATGTGTAATGAACGCTATATTTTATTGTATAAAGTATGCTATATTTTAAAAATAAAAAATTCTTGTTCTATACTAACAAGGTAATAAAGAAATAAAGAAATTACAGTCTACATTTCATGGAATGAAAGGAACGAATATATTTACTCAAGCAATAATAAAAATATTTCCTTATAAGACCTTCGTAAAATATTGCCTTATAAGGATCCGTTAAACCATTTGTTACATATCTTGTAAGGCCCTTGTCTGTCCATCCCTACTAGGGCCCTACTTAAGGCCCGATTAATGTTAGAGGAAAATAATCAGGCCCTCACCAGAGCCCTATTAATTTTTCTACTCGGGGCGTGTCGTTCGTCGCGCTCGGCTTCTCGCTCGGGCGATAATACGCGAATCCATACGAATTACCTGGCTCTTCATGGGATCCGTGTTGACCTGGCACATGTAAATCCCGCGATCCTCCCGCCGGGCTCCGCGGATGTGCAGCGTCCACGTGTTGTAGTCGCTGTGGGTTACCGACAGGCGGGCGTTGTTCGTGATCACGTGCTCGTGAATCGCCAGGATCGCCTTGGTGTCCGCCTTGATCCACGCCACCTGGCCTCACAAACCCATTTCTTAGCAGGCGGAATTTTCTCGCGCGGCTCGATCACGCTCCTCCGTTCTCCCGCACTCCGCCTAATCTCGTCGCTATGCGCGCTACGTCGCAACGAACGCGATCGCGTCGACTCAAACGACGACTCGTCGAACGCTCTCGTCTCGCGAGCCTTAATTGACGTCCTCGTACCTCGAGCAGGTACCATACGCTCGGATTGCACGCTCGCGGCTAGGCCTCGAAACGCCGCAGTTTCCGCTGTCTCGCAACTCGCGTCGAATCTTTCGGTATCGAGCGTCGCTGCTGAGGTCTTTTGCATCTCCTCGACGTGAGAGAGATACTCGAGATCATCAGGCCCGGCCGGTTTGACCCTTGAACCCTAGGATGTTTTGTTACCTCCTATTGCTTTTCACCCACGATTTTATTTTTTATCTTTTTTTTTTCAATGTGCATGAACCGTATCAATATTTGGCGAAAATTTGCGGCAATGTGCAAAGATGTTTTAAATCGTATATAATTTTTTAAAGGGAAAATAATAACTTTTCACGATAAAAAGAAATTCTTTCATTTGAGCATGAATGGTAAAAGTATTTATGAATATAAATCCTAGCAGCAGTATCGCTTGAATAACGGTTGAAAAATATCATCGGGACAATTTCGTTCCCCAGTGTTTAAGGATTAAACCGGACGATCTCAATCGACTCGGCCGAGTTGTGAACTCTCGCTGCTCGGATTCGCGAGAAAGATTCACGAGGTATGGACACAAATATCTCATCGAGCCGTGGCGATGCCGGAAACTTCGACGCGTCCAAGTCGATCGGGACGAAGCGGTTGTTTCTAATCTAAGTTGTTCCTAACCTAAGACAGCTGTACGCTTTTTCATCGCTTCGGTGTCGCTTTTTCCCGCAGCTCGGCGTTGACGCTGAAATATTCGCGACCGCGCGCCCTTAAGGGATAACATCTGAGTGAACGCCTGAAAACACACGAGAGTAAGTTTGGGAATTTTTTGTAGTTAAATAACAACATAGATGGAAAATTGGTTTGAAGGCCTCTAATGTGCATACCTTAAACTACACAAAACAATTTTTTGTTATTATTTTCAAGATGGCGGCGCTGAAGTTCTCCAAGTAAAAGCACGTTTTCCGAATTGGCTTGCAGCAGAACTTTAACAACTTTCATCCGGTCCTCTCGAAATTTTTACAGTAACTGCTAAACTAAATTCTCTAGAGAAGTACACATGATTTTTACGATCGGTTTAAAACTTTTGTTATTATAAATATTTTTTCACTGAATTTCTTGGATAAAACTGAAACTTTTTTCTTAACTGTTCACCATTTCTACAAAAATCAATATTTTAACATATGCGCGTGTACTTCTCTGGCAAATTTAACGTAGATTAACAAAAATTTTGCCTTTTTGTCCGTTTTGAAAGAGTACGGCATTTCTGCTGCAAGCCGCGGGGACCCATGAGAAAAATGCGGTTTTACTTGGAGAGCTTCAGCGCCATCTTGAGGCAAAATAATAACAAAAAATTGTTTTGTGTAGTTTAAAGTATACACGTTAGAGCCTTCAAACCAATTTTCCATCTATGTTCTTATTTAACTACAAAAAATTCCCAAACTTACTCTGTTTTCAGGCGTTCATTCAGATATTACCCCTTAAGCTTCCCGTCACGATTCGGACGCGAACTCGATTACGATAACGTCCGCGGGAAGGAGAGATAGGAAGCGCGGGGCGCTTTCCATTCGCGAATGAATGAAATATTCGTACATCGGCCGTGCCTCCCTTCGAGGGAGGGAATCAGAGGCCCATATTTCGTGGAAGGATCTTCTCCGGCAGGCGCCGTCCGCTTCGCATCCCCCGACAGGGCGGGAAATCCCCGCGCGCTGTCCGCCGTTGTGTAAATACGAGGAATTCCGCGGGCACGAAAACACGATAACCCGAGGAGAGCGCAACTTTTCAGGAGAGAAGGGACGAATAAAAGAGAGCAACGGCGCGAGATAACAGTTAGCGGCGAAGTTCGCGAGCGTGTCTTCTGCTCTCGCAGGAGATGTAACATTATGTTTACATTAAACGCGAGAAGCTTCGGGAGCTTAGATAGGAAAACAGCGGGAAGAAGGAGAGAGAGAAGGATAGGAAAAAGGGGCGGGGGGAGAGAGGGAGAGGGAGAGGGAGAGAGAGAGAGAGAGAGAGGGAATAAAGATGAAAATCAACGTCGCCGCTCGCGCCGCGCCGGCGCGATCGTCATATTGGTCGCGATTTATCGCGAGACTTTTTTGCGCTCGTGTCGCGCGTGAATGTTCTCCCGCAAGTTATATTACTTCGGAAGTAATTATCGCGACTATCCTCCGAATGTGGGTTACCGCGTTTTCGCTCCGCGGTCCTACGTATCATCAACGCTAAATTGAACTCTCCGCCGGTTATTGCGCTCCGCCAAGTCGCTGATATACGCCCATTAATTAAACCCATTTTTTACGGATTAAAATCAATGGAAGGGCAACGGGAGGGGGGAGGGAGAGGACAGAGAGAGAAGGAGTGGCGGGGGAGGAGGCAAGGGGGCAAGGAAAGCGCGATTTCGACCGGTTAACACGCGCATTAGTGGGAAAACTCGCGGCTCCGCGCGCCCCCGATCGAAGTTGCGGAGAGGGGGGAAGAAGAGGAGGAGGAGGAGGAGGAGGAGACCGCAGCCACCGAGCATCGCGAATATTCTCTCATCCCTCCTGCCTCCCTTCTCGTCGTCCGTTCTGCTCGTTCGCCCTCTGCCCTCCTCCCTTCTGCCCTCCTCCGCCGCCACCCTTCCGGCGCGGCTCCGCTTCTGCACAGATATTATTGGCATGAAATTGAACCCGTACCTCGTCGAATATCTGACCTCGCATCGGCCTGAAAGGCTATCTATCAACCGACAAAGGAGCTCCGCGGTTCTTATCGATAACTCGCGCAGCGGAGTGTACGGATGGCAGACGCGGCGGGGGTTTAGCGGAGCGCGGGTTAGCAGCGGCGGGGCGGCGAGGTGGGACAGGAAAAGGTCTGCGGGGCGGGAGGGGGTGAGTGCGAGTGTTTGGTAGTGACGGCCCTGTGAGTGCCTCCACTTATAATACATTATATGCCGGAGTATAGCGCGCTCGGCTCCATTCTCCCTTTCGGCGCGCTCTCCGATTTTGTGGGGGGACGGCAGCCCTCGCGAAAAAGAGAGGGGGGCGGGGAGAAACCGCGCGACAGAGAGGCTTGCAGGCCCTCCGGCAGGCCGTTCGCGCCGCGTTCCGCTTGGTCGTGTCCGAGCATCGATTCGCTCGTCGATGATTAATCGCGCAGGACTCGGGTGCTGCAGGGCAAGGATCGGCTGAAACGCGCGCCGAGCGATGTTCCGTATACTTCCGGCCGCTTCCTCAGGTTCTCGCGGGCTCGGCCGACCTGGCGACATGTTTAACCCTCCGTTAGTCGCAGCCTCCAGCGGATGCACCTTCAGGCTATCGCTAACGTATCGCGCCCGTTACGCGGCTTGTAAGGGCCTCTTCTTCTTCGTATCCACCCTAATGTTCTTCATCTTCTCATTCATTCTTTTTTATGATCTTTAGTGGCTGGTCTGTTGGTCAAGTGGCGATGGAAGAATTGCCTCGAGGGGCGGGGAAGAATGGCGGGGGAAAATTGGTACATCCGTGATGAACATCGCGGCCATTCAAAGCTGAAGAATACTGGGGACTAACGCGGAGGGTTAAAGCAGCGGAAATTCAGGGAAATCGAAAAGGAAAAATGAGAGAATATACTGAGGAGGAGGGGCGGAAGATACGAGTAAAATTCTTCCCGGGTCAGGTCGGTCGCGGAGGTAGAGAGATTTTTGCGACGAGGAGAGAACTCTCCATGAGGGAGAATTTCCAAAAAGAGGCGAAATCTTACGAATCGCGAGAAAAGCTAAGTACGAGAACCGATGAAATATTGTCGGTTGGTGCGAAAGGTTTGTCGTGTTTGTTAAATCAAGTGGAAAACAAAATTGTCCGGTCTCGACGGGCTGATAATTTCGGCTGCTTTCGAAGGTCTCCGAGACGGTTCACCGTCCGATTCTCGTGAAATTCGGCGGAGTTGTCCGAAATAAACAGATCTGCGAGGATTTTATTTAGTTGAAAATTGACTGGAAGTGTTGAGTTAATGAATATTTTTTTTGTATTAATGAAGCAACGTTACAACTAATCAAATTGATTATCTAATAACTCCTTTCTACTATTAACTCCTATTAACTCCTATTAACCTGATGATGACATGGATTCGTCGACAGCGACAAAACCCATTTAATTTTTAAATCATTGAGTTAATGAATATAGCCTGACTTACAAAAATGTTGACCTAATCTCAGTTGATTTTCAAGTTCGCCAAAGATCCTTTTAAATATGTCTTACTTGGGAATATTTGCAAGTTCATTGAATATAAATATCATCGTCAACTCATTGAAGTTCATAATAATCGAACGATGAACCTTTCCGGGGGAATAAGAAGAACTAAAATAAAGGGAATTAAGGAAAATATCGATATATCGGAACAAATATCTAATTCGGTGAGTTCTAGTTATGTTGATTTCCACCAATATAAATATTTCAATTTTTAAATGAAATACCCACGCACGCGCGTGTATTCTACTTTGAAACTTGAAACATTTTAATGTAAAGGCCGCGGCGAAAAAACTTGTTTTTACAAACAAGATGAATTATATCTCTCTCTCTCTTGTTTCCCCTTCAATAGCCAAACTCCCTAGGACGGAAAATGCACTAGAAAAAACTGACAAATCTGTCGCACCGGCCTAATATTACGAGTATATTAGCGAGGCCATGAGACGGCACATAAAACCGATCGCGACGGCAACGCTATCTGCCGGCAGATAGCGCGCGTGCGCGGTCTCTACGTCACATAACCTCCCGACAGATTCCTCGCGTTAAGGAATAACCGATATGAAAACCATTGTCGGAAGCGACAGAGGAGGTCTCCATAGCAACGCACGCGCGGCATAACGTCG